TATCTAAATTTTATTTAAATTTTATCAATATAAATTTGTTATTTATCTTATTCAGATTAATAAGTTACTTGAATTCAAATAAAACTGGATTAACGAATATAATAAATATAATATCATATAATCGAGAATATATCTGAAGAGTGTATTCTGAGAATTATTGACTTCTTTTTCAATTTTCTTTGCATTATTATGGAAAATGAAAGAAAAAAATATTTCTTATAAATAAATTAGAGTGTTCTATTATATTTGAAATGTTTAAAGATATGTATATTAAAAATTCTGAGTTCTTGTTTTAAATATTAATGAATATAATTCCACAACAATTAAATGAACAGAAAATATGATAATCGATTATTACTGAAAGTATATTTAATATAGATGTTCAATGTTTCAATATTGTCTAAAATTGTTATGAATTTTCAAGATTGTTAAATGTTTTTAATAAGAATAATATCAAAGCATAGTAATAGTTCAACTCTGTATATACCATAAATTGCTGGAAAGTTCTATATGAAAAAGAATATGGAATCACCGCCTAATGGCATTGTTTTGCACTAGTATTGTTCGTTATAAATTCCTTTTCACTTTCAAATGAAGTGCTTGTGAAGTAGCTTTAGTGGGTGTGGCAAATAATTTGAATGAAAAATTGCTAAAAAAAATATTGATGATAAATGATTGTTATTATGCGTTAGTAGATACAGAATGTATTTGATTCTAATAGAGAAAAAAAATTCCTTATAACTATGTATAATTAATAGAGAACAAACTTTATTTTCTATATTAATATTAACTTATATTATATTTATAATATTGATTTTTCTCATAGTAATATTTTAGTTATACAGTATAAATTTAATCGAGAAATTTTTAAGATGTTATACAAGTTTTTTATTGATGTTATAAATTTCAGTATTAATTTTATTTTCGTAAATTTATTATATAATTTTTATTTTTAGCAAATTTTTTGTTTTTTACTATATAAAAATTAGTATTCTTATTTTATTCTATATAATAGAATAAATTATTCTATATAATATTTACAAAAATTTTACTGTAAATATAATGTTTATAAAAAATATTTTTTATACATCCATCTATATTTTGTAATGTATTGCATCATCATTATTAAAATAATCAAAGTTTAGATTATAAAATATTAAGTCAAGGACTTATTTCTAAAAACCTATTATTTCAATCAATAATTTCATGTATTATTATATCACTATACTATACTATATAACAAAATTATTTTATTAATAATTTTCAATACTTTTTATTTCAAATATATTTAATTAAAATATCTCAGAATAAAAATATTATTATATAAAATATTACATATTTATGATTGATCTTTAAAAGATCGATTTAGATTATTAGATTATTAAATTATAAGTATATTAGATAGAAATAGAGCTAGAGCTATTATTTTATGTTTATCTCAATTGATATTTTTCCATATCACTTTTATATTTTGTATCTAAAATTAAAAAATCTTTTCCTTCAAAAATCATTTACAAATATCTTAATACTTTATATATATATATATATATTATATATAATTTATTCTATATATTTATTCTATATATTTTATATTTAAATAATAGATTATTTAAACGATTGAAACTTTGATAATTAATGTTTTATTATAATTTTAAAATTTAAAATTTTTCACGGCCAAACATTACCAACCACTAGTGGCGCCGCCATATGAATAGAGTGAATAGCCTAGCAATCCAAATAAAAGCCATGGCCGTTCCACCTCCAATCTCTGGATCCTTTCACTTTTTAACCCAGTTCTCATTGTTCCGATAGTTCACTGCACTGCTGTCACGAGCGTTTCGACTACCGAACCAATCTATTGTAATTAACGTTACAATGTCCATCTTTCTTTTGTTTTCTTTCTCGTTCGTTTCCTTCGATAATGCTCTTTCCCGCGGAATTTCGGATTTTTCTAGTTGGTATTTTCATGCGATGTGGTCAGGTATCCGCGTTGCGCAACCGAGATGCAATTACGCGATCACAAACTAGATAGAAAAAAAAATGTTAGGAAGAAATATGTGTTAAATGTGTAAAATACTCCTCGATCAACTTTGTTTTTTTTTTTCATTAATTTCATGAATATCGAATTTTCTAATTTTATGTATAATTATTATAAAAAGTGATCCAATAAGAATTATTATTTGAATATCTTTGTTTTTTGATTTTTTTATAAAAAAATTTTATTAACAAAAGTTGTTTAATATGAAGAAAATTATAATAATAGAGATATTAATAGAGATTTAGATACTTTCATTTTTTTAAATTTAATTTAATAATTTTTGTAAAAAAAATATTAATCTATATTCTTAGTTTTGGATTCACTTTAATTTTAATTTCATAAAATTTTATGAATGATAAAGAACGAAGTGATTTTTGTTTTTCATTATATAAATATAATGATTTTTAGACTTGTTTATTGGCTATACTCAAATTAAACTATATTTATATTAATATGCTCAATAAAAGTATGTATATTTTAATAACTTTTTATAAATTTTCGTTGATAATATATATTCTAGTTAGAAATTATTTGATCTAACTGAACAATAAATAAAATTACAAATAAATTCATTATATACATTTATAATTTTTAATAATTTTTAATAAATTTTTTTTTTAATAAATTTTTTTCATTGATATTTAGTATTATAAATATTAAATAGAAAATATATGAAATAATAAATTATTATATAGATGATAAATTAAAATATATGAATATGTTAAATAAATATAATAAATAAAAATACGATAAATTAGAACACAATGAAGTAGAATATTTTGTATAACTTGATAGTACGTAAAATACAGAATTCTATAGTCTATGATATTGTAATTTCAAAAACAATACAGTAATTAATGTATAATAATTGTTTCACAGATTTCTTTTAATTTAATTAATACTTAGAATTCTTTAAATATTTCATAAAAAAATTTCTATACAAAAAAAATTTCTGTTGATAGAAAAAAATAATATAATATAATATATATGTCTAAATTTGGAAAGTTAATAATTTTTATTCTTTTCCTGTTAAAAATTAAAAAATTACAACAGAAGATTTTAGAAAATCGTTTAATTATGCGTATAAAAAACGAGATTTATGCTGCTATTTTTAATCATGTATATTTATCTAAATAATGATTATTCGATTCGTAGTTATTTTATTTATCAATGATAATAATACAAGAGATAATAATATATAATTCGATAAATTACAAAAATATAAAATAATTTACATATGAAATACATATTATATCAGAAAAAATCAGAAATATTACATATATATTGTTCTTTTTAATTAAAATATCTTATTTAATATTTCAAACATTTTGAATTTTGAAAAATTAAATTCTTTCTAATTTAAGAAAGAAACAATTTTTTTAATTTGATTTAAAAAGTGAAGATTAATGAAACTTCAAAATATCTTGAAAAATAAGAAAAGTGCTATATAGAATATTTTAATTAATAATATTATTTATAACAATTAATAAACATATATATATATTTACACATACTTACAAAATTTTATTAAAAATAAAAAATTGTTCATTGACATTTCATTAAAAAATAAATCACTTTCGTGAACTATCTATATAAAATATCTATATAAAATATCATTAATATTAGATTATTTCAATATTTATTTACAATATACTTCATAACCTCATAACCTCACATATTTGTTTCTAAATGTCAGCTATAAAACGTAATGTACTTTTTTTCAAGCCGAGAGAAAGAGGTAAAAAATTACATATCTAAATATTAAGACTCATAGAATTTCCTATATAATATTTCTTATTAATATTTGAGGAAAAATATCATAAAATGCTCGTCATAGTTTATTTCCAGAGAAAAAGAATGAATTACGAGTAAAAGAGAAAAAAGGAAGGAGATCAGGGAAGAATTGCAAAGGTGCGTCAAGGATTCGAATTAATCATTACTAATGTTTGTCACTAATCCATCCATCTTATCTAATTGGATACATATTTTTTTTACGCATCCTTGTGTTATATTGTAAGTTAAGTATTATGTTAAGTATTATTCAGTATAGAATTGAGTGCTAGCGAAATAAATTCTCATTTAAATATAATTTTTATTTTATTCTTTATTAGTTATATTATAATTAATATATTTTATTATAATTAATATTATTTAAATAATTATTATTTGAAGAACGAATTATTTTAATTTATTTTATTTGGTATTTAAGTATTTGTTATTTAATTACAAAATTATGAAAATATAAAAATACTTTTTGTGATTAAATAATTTTTTGGAACGTTTCTATTTACTAAAATTTTTTTTATCTAAGTTTAAGTACAATTGTTTTTGATTTACATATTCTTGATTATTATATGCATATGAGGTGAATGTATTTTTTGTATATAATAAATATTTATTATTTTATATTATTTATTTTCTATTATAATTTAAAACAATTAAAAAATATTAATTGTCATATTAATTATATATAATTTGATAAATAAATGATATGAAAATATTTTATTTCTCAAATAATTTTTTAAAATTTATTCGCAAAAACATATTCATATATTTCAAAATTATATATTCAAAAATAAAATAATAAATAAATATGAAAAATAAAATTTTCATTTTTCTTATTTTATAATTATAAAATTATTTTAATCAAATTGCTAATATTTTTCCAGTGAAAACGATAACATAATAATAAAAAAAACATAATATTCAGATGATCTTTAATAGCAAAAATAATACGCATATGTCTCTAGGAATTTAACATATGCATCATAATTAATAATATACACAAACACTTTTTTTCTATCTCATTCTATCTCATTCACAATTAACAAAATCTTCACAAGTCTCAATAGATATTCCTTAATGCCAAAATTGTACAGCGCCCTCTTGGACCAAATCTCTCAATTTTAAAATGAAAATATGCATTTCCATTCAATCGAGTCACGGAACTCTGGTGCAATAGGAATCCAAAGCAATCGAGTTGTAAGAGAACGGCAATTCTGTTGTTTATTCGCGGCTTTCCCCACTCGTGGCAAGTGTTTTCACCTCTTTAGTCTTTGCTCAGCGTAGTGTCGGCCCAAACATCGCCAAGACAAGTGACGAGATTTTGTTCTCTTCGATCGGGCCGCGCTCTTTACCGGAAACACGATCCATCCTTCCGCGGACCATGTCGCGACTTTTCATCTTTTTTCTGGCTTGTCTCCTCGTGACCATTGCTATCTCGTACGCAAAACCAACGATCTATAAAAGGAATCAAGACAATGTGTTCGAACCAGGTGAGCAAATGTATTAGTATTTCTAATTGGAAATTGACATTCGAACAATTGTATCCTGTATTGTTGTTTATGGTTGACATTCGCTTTGGAATAAATCCTAATATTATATTATATTGTATTATATTGTTGTATAAGTGTGATAGTTTTTTGTGATGTGAAAAAGTGTTCGGTTTTGAATGTTGAAGGTGAAACGAAAAAATAAAAATTTCACAATTTTCTAAAAATTAATAATAATAAATTTTTCTACTAGTATTCGTTTTCTGTTTTCACTCTTTTAAATTTAGTGTGAAAAAGATAATTTTTGTGAAATTAGTTTTTCTAGTGAAAGAATTTCCTAATCACATTTCATTTTATTTCTATCTCTCCATCTAAGGTAAATTTAAATTGCTTATAATTTAATAAATAAGCCTTGATCAATATATTTTATATATTTCGTATATTAACTTTCACATTTTTTTTAGCTTCTCTAGAATTGATTCAAAGATATTTTTCGACTTTAATAACATCTTTTATAACATATTACATATATATTACATATAGTAATAATAATTTTAAGTTATTTTTTTTTTTATATCACATTAATTCATTAATATTTCTTACATGCTTTATTATTGTATTTTTACGTTTTAAAAATTGCAATAATATTTTTTAATGAATTTCATATTTCGTTTGACTGAAAACTTTTTGTCAAGAATTTCATCGATTCCGTAATGAGACTTTCATTCCATGAAAGTGCTCCTTGCCTGAATGAATCTCAGAAAGCGAGAGATAACGAGTCGAATAAGACGCTTCTTAAAAAAAAAATCGAAAGTTTCGGTTTCTCTTTTTCCAATCTCGACAGAGATCGAGGTCTTGGTCGCACGCGAGCATCTGGCCACAGAAAAGCTTTCACCTTAATTGTTGCTACGCTACATAGATACTGAGATGCGCCTTGACCTCCCTTTTCGTACCGATAAATCTCCTTTTTCTTCTCCTTTTTTTCTCTTCGCACGTTTTCCGCTTTATGTACAAACGCTTATGCGAATCTTGACAAACAGGCGTAACTTGTAATCTATCGTGATGACTAATTCGTGTAGAATTTTTTTCCTTGTTAGTCAGAGCAAATAGATGGTAACATTGAATGGAAAAATGATGGTATTAGAATAGAACAAAAAAATTAAAATTTGAATGAAAAAAAATTTTTGTTTAATCTTTTGAATCTTTCTTAAAAAAAAAAAATAGTTTCTGTAAAATTAATTTTTGAATATTTGTTGTATTTTATCGATAAAATTTTATGAATGAGCTTTCGAATAGGAATTATATATCAAACAATTTTTTTAATTTGAAATTTTAATATAGTATTATTATAAATTTTTATAGAAATTGGAAATTTTTAGACTTATAAACGAACAAATTAAAAATATTTACAAAATGACAATTTTGTTTAATTAAATTTATTCCAAATTTAATGTGAATTTCTTCAAAATTTTTCATTACTTTTGTTTAATAAAAAATATTTATTGAAAATAAAAATAAAATTAATAAACAAAAATTTATAAAATCAATGAAAATAATTTTTAAATTACTTCTAGCATCTTAAAAAATTTGATCAAAAATTCTTTTGCTGTTAGAAGTTGTTATGAATAGTAAAAAAGAATTTTATTCCTATTTCGTTTCATTTTACACTTATAGCAATAGATTATATTATAATTGTCGCAATACAATTCATTTTTAATAATTTTTTAAATAATTTCATTAAATTAATAAAAACAATCATTTCGAACAAAAGTTATTTAGTATTCACAAAGAATTGACAAAGAATTATAATAATTGGTAAAAAATTTATTTAAAATAATATTAAAGTAATCTTTTTTTTTTAACGAAACTGTATATTTTTGTATATATCAATCGATACATTCTTGTACTTTTTTTTAATAGTATTAGTTAAAATAGTATTAATTAATCTCGTGTCGAAAATTGATTGATTCATTGATTAGTTATAATTTTTATCCTAAAATGTTTACATGTGCGAAGGATGGAAGTTGGAAGGATGATGAGAAGAATAAAATTGAGAAGTCGCGATTCATGGCCATGGTTTGCCAAATAAAGGATGTCTTGAAATCTGAATTTTCTTAAGGCGACATTTGACAGGTGGGAATAACGGAACAATGACGTCACTTGATACACAACGTGGGCTTCGATTATAGCAAGGTTACAGGATCGGAGTAGATCTTATTCCCAATGCAATTCTTAGAGGGGATAAACATGTGTCTTGTGATTTGATTTGTTGCAGTTTGAGAGAGAGAAAGAGAGAGACAAATTAATTAATATGGATCTACATATATATTGTTATATATGTTATAAATGTAATGAATAATATCTAATGATATAATATAATATTTATTCGTCAATTACAAAAATATAAGTAAACACAGAAATTCTAACCTAATTTAATTTTTGTCGATTTTATTTTGACAATATAATGAATGATAGTTAATGAAAGATAAAAAAGAAATAAAAGCAGAAAGACATAAAATAGGAAAAAGAAATAATGGGAATAAATTATAAAATTAAATGAAAATAAGATATTTATAGTATTTATACTATATATGTATATTAATACATAGGATTGGAAGATCGATTATAAACATAGTTAAGATTTCTTTCTTCAATAATTAATTATTTAAGTTGATAAAATTATAAACAAGTTTAAATTTACATTAGAAGTCAAAGGAAGATAGAATGAACAGTTTTCGTCTTGTTTTATTTAAAATTTAAGTTGCTTATGAAACTAATAAGTAATAATTAATAAATAAATTTCAATTGATATTTTTGAAAATCAATTTTTGTATTTTATTTTGGTTTTTAGAATCAATAAACAAACTCTTCAATGTATTGCAATATATTAATATCTTTTATATATTGTTAAATATGCAATGATACATAATATTATAATAATATATATATAATAATTAACTATAATTAATACATATAATATTATTATATATTATTGTATATGTAACAATATAAATATTATAAAGCAAAGTTATTTATTTTCTTATTTCTGTTTCTTCCAGTGAAATTTTTTCTGACAACTCTGATTGAGAAATAAATAAATGATATATAATGATATGATAAATGAATAAATAATATATCGTACAATAATATACGATAATATTATATATAATTGAAAAAAAAACATTAATTTCTTATATACGAAATAAGCGAGTAATAAAGCAATAAAGTATATCCTATTTAAATTTAATTCAATTATATACCATTTCTTTGATGACACTATAAAACTAATAAATGACGAATCGATTTCATTATATATTTTTAAATCATATTTAAATAAGTTCATCACTATATTTTCCATCCACATTGATACTCAATGACGATATTATATACTATTATACTATATACTGACGATATTATATACAAGGATTTCTAGAAATTGCTTTTCTAAGAGAAAGTAATATAATTATTGAATTAAAATTTCTTCTGTTATTCTTATTATTATTATTATTATTTTTTTAAAGAATATAGTATAAGAGAAATAGCATTAATGTCATATCTTATGCTATACTAAATAGAAATGGAAGAACATAATGAGTATATTATTGTACTATATTATTTTTTTTCCCATTTTTCCTATAGAACGAATTTTCAAAATTTGATCCTGGCAATCTTGGAGATAATATGTAACAATATGTAAGAAATGTAGATTCTTGATTCTTTAAGTACCAATTTAATTTTAAAAAGTATTATTTTAATTTAATTTGAAAAAATTTTTTTCAAATTATGCACTTAATTTAATTTTTGTATATGCTAGTAAATTGCGTTTAATAATAAATCATTTCATATAAAAATTCATTTATTTCTATAAATAAATGATATAATAATTTCACGATTATTGCAAAATAAATATACAAATTCAAAAAATAATAATAAGAAAAGATTATTGTGTGATATTTTTCAAAATATTTAAAGAAATACAATAATATTATTTAATTATAATAACTTCAAGCTTTTTAAAATGAATATATATATATATATATGTCTACTATAAACATCCAAAGTTTAAAAGTCGAATTGTGCAGAAACATACATTTATTGAATAATTTAAATATAATGAAAATTTTCATTAACAAAAAAACAATAAAAAACAATAAAATTAAAAAAATAATTGCATATACAAAAAAATAAATATATTGAAATAAAAAATAAAAACAAATTTTCTATTCATTAAAAAAAAATTCAATTGGACAGTTCAGATAGCACTTTGCTTGATATTACTATTATTTATAAAAAAAACAAAAATGCAAAAACAATGATAATTTAAAATTTAAAATTTTAATTTGTCTTTAAGAAATTAGAAATAATAAAATAATAAAAAATATACTAAAAATAGCATATACTACCATTTTATGCAGGACTGATAGATATTAATATGCCAATAACTAAACGATACGTACTATATTGAAGTTCTTATTCTTGTTGGAAGAGTCGACTAAGATGCATTCATCTTTTTTCAAATTATGTTTTATGTAATTTTTATATATTCTTTATTGCAAATAACATCGAATTTGTTTTTTATTTTTTGAAACATAGAATATATAATATCTATATATAGATATAGAAATATCTAGTCAGAGATTAATATTTAAGTGAGACAGAAAGCAAAGGTTCCATTGAGTTATTAAATCGTTAAGAAAATTTAGTTATCGGGCCATTAGTAATATCGAGTTTATTAGATTATTAATGATATCGAGTTATCGGCTTCTTAATAGTACCGAAGAGTTCGATCACTATTAATATAAAGTTGCGAGTCAATGAGTAATATGTAATTAAAAGTCTACTAAGAAATTGAAATAGCTTTTAACTGCTTAGGATTGAATATAACAATTTTTAGGCTGAATTTATATTATTGTTTATAAGCAGTTCACAAGCTATGTTTATCGATATATTTTTATGAACAGCAAATAACATGCAACGAATTATTCGAATAAATGTTCGAATAGTATTTATGAATATTATGCTGATGAATATGCATTTTTATTTTCATAGATTTTCTTTAGTGATATCCATTAGATCATATATAAATAAGCCCAATTTTAATATCAAAGAAATATTATTAAAAGATATTAAAATTAAATTATCTTCATTCAATTGATTTATCATCAATTTATAATGAAATATATGTAATTTTGATAAATAAATCGATAAATTAAAGATTTTATCCATTATATTGCTTTTTTAAATTAAAATATACTATCTAGCATTTTTTTGATTTATCAAAATATATTATAATATTATGTTTTATTTCAAAAAATTCATATGAATTTTATTTAACAGATTACTAAAGATCTAGAAATGATCTTTTTTAAATGATTTATTTTTTAAAAAAAATAATACAAGAAAAATAATAGAACTTTAAAATTTTCAAATATTTTAAAATGCTAGATAGAATTGAATTAACTTTGAAAATGCAGATTATGTTATTTTAATATATTAAAATAGTATTTTAATGAAAAGACAAATATTTTTTTAAAAATTTCATAAAAAATAATTAATAAATTATAAATTAAATAATAAACATAATTAACATTATTATCTTTTTTGTAAATGAAATTAGATGTTTTTAAAAATATAATTGATAACCTTTATATATATAACCTAACTTAATATATATGAGATTTCACATCACGATGTTCTTTCGTACGCAACTTACAATTTTTCATTTTATAATTTTAATGGAAATTGATAGATTCTTTCTTTGAATAATTATTACGTAGACGATATTAAGCACCAATGTATCCTCTCGTAATATTTGTCATCTAATAAATATTCATGTTATGAAAAGCGATAGCGAAAAACTTTTCAAACTATTATTGATTGTTATTGGAAGTTAAAATACAAACAAGAATTAAAAAAGTATAATAATACACAAAATACAATCAGTCATACGAATCAGCGATTCGAAAGTATTCATTTATATTCTATAATACACTGTTATAATTGTTTTTGAATTTGTAGCAAATTGATTAATATAATGAACGAATAGTTAATTTTTAAATAATGGAACTAAACAAAATTGATTTATTCAAAGAAATTAATAGTGATTTTATGCAAAAATATAATGCAGATTATGTTCGCATGGAAAATTTAAAAGTTTATAATATTAATTGCATAAATATTAAATTGAGATAATTGAGCATATTATACAAATTAAGAAAATAATTGTACGATCTGAAACATTTCAATACATTCCATTTGTAATGATTTCTTGATTATATCAATTTATATACATATATAATATTCGTTACTTCTAAATATCATTTGAATGAAAGTTTACTTTAATTTCAAAGTTGTTTTCTCTTGTGATTTTCCTTTCCTCTATTTTTCGTTAGTTTTAATTGGTAAAAAAAAATTTCGTAGTAGCGTATTTCCTAAGCTATTATATTGAACTACAATAATAAAAATTTAATTGTGATTTTATAATAACAAGACTAAGGTAGACACAATATAAAAATCTTAATAAATGAAACAATAAATAATTGATTTGATATTAGATTATTATCTTGACGATTTGATTTTCATTTGATTAATATTAATTTTTCAAACGAATAATTAAAATATCATTCTATATATTTTGATAGATATTCAATAAATCAATAATTAATTATAAATTATTATAAAATTAAATTCATAAGAGAATATTTTTATTAATGATATATTGCGGATAATATATTTTATAATTTTTTTCTATTTTTGTATTTTTATATTATCACTTTTATATTTTATATTATAAGAGATATTTTCCTTATATTATTAGATGTATTTTTATATTATCACTTTTATATTTTATATTATAAGAGATATTTTCCTTATATTATTAGATAATTGAACAATATTATTATACGATATTTCAATTCTTTTGAATACATATTCCAAGAATATTTAATTATATTATGAATCATCTAAAATTTGAAATAACGAAAAAAATTGTGATATTTTATTGATGTTATTTCAGTGATGATACCAGTTTCATCTACAGTGATTCCTCTTCCCGTCTATAAAATGGAATATAATTTTGGATTTGTATCAAAAAATAAAAAAGCACAATCATCGTCTAAACCTGAAGATGGAGTTAAACTAATAACAAGTAAGTTAAATATAAAAAAAATTATATATAATTATATATATAAAATTATATATATATTTGCACACATATGGCCAATAAAGAAAACAATAAATATTATTTGTTACAGTCAAGAAGAGTCAAGATAAAAAAACATAAATCCATGAAAATTATTATGTGATTTTACGATGATAAATCGTAAAATTTGTCAATAATGAAGCAATATAAATTCATTATTGTTATATGATAATCTACATCAATTGTGCAAAAATTTCAAATAAATCTCGGATTTATTTTATATATGTGCGCGTGCGAGTGTGTGTACAACAGATTTTAAAAATTGCATTATGCAGTAATAAGTTTTCAGACCAAAAATTAATTTACCTCGATAACTAATATTAATAATTTTTGTTCAGTATGAATTTATATTAATTTTAATAAGTGAAACAAAAATCAAATATTAAAAAGCCAAATTGTATTAACTAAAAACAGAATTTGTTAAGTTTTTGTATTTAATAAAAATATAATGCATCGTTTTTAATATTATATGCTTACGTATACTATATTTATCTATATCTATTTAATATTTCAAGGAATATTATGAAAATAATAAGTAAAAAATTATAAACTTTTATTGAACATCCAAAATTTCTATTTATTTACCTATCGTTACGATATTTCCATTGGTTCTTCCGCTGAAATAAAAATAAATATATATAAAACGTTATATAATCGAGCATAATGTTACCATTTTTTTTTACTTACGTATTTCATTAAACATAAAATCATCTTGATATTCTTTTAGGAACTGAGTGGATCTATTTTCATCGAGAAACAGTGAATAAACACGCTTCACATCATCAATATTGACCTGAAATTATATATTATTTAACAATATTTTTATTAACAATAATACAAAAATACACATAGAAATAAATATACTCACTTCTGTACTTTTTCTTCGTCGACTAACAAGAGAAGCAGTCGTAATCAATTGAATCGCATATCTTAATGATGTTTCCAGAGCGATTCTAGTAAGAACTGTTAAAGCATCATCCGCCATTTCACAATCTTCTTCTTCACATCTTATTTTTAAAATTTCTTTCAATTCTTTTTCTTGATAAGGACTTGTTGGAACAATAATCATACGATCCAACAAATCTATTGGAATACCATGTGGACTTTTATAATTTGTTCCTCTGATTCTAGTAATACCTATATGAGAAGAGTTTATCAATTAATTTTATATTATTTAAAAGTAATATGTATATAAAACTGTATGTAAGAACCTCTATTTGTTGCCATAATAACGACTGGTGCCATTTCATTTTCGAGTGCTCGATTGAGAAATGAGAAGCATTCAATATCAAGCATATGAACTTCGTCGATGAATAAAACACCTGGAACGATTTCAGCTTTTCCTTCCTCACGCCATTCGGCAACTTTAGCATTTATTTGCTCTCGTACTTCTGATTTAATTTCTCCTGTATCGCCAGAAAATAATGCCAAAAATCCATGGGTTCTACTGTTTATAACATCAACTTCATGTAAAGTTACTGTATGTACAACTTCCTTGCGTTTTTGTAATTCACCCTCAGGACATTGTACAAAACGAGTTTGAGAACCAGTTGCATCATAATCACGAGCTCTAGTAAATGATCTTCCCAATCTGTTTATTTTTCCTGTAGCTTTATCAATTGTAATCACATCTCCAGCTTGTACCTTAAATAAGAAATCATTTTAAAAATTCCAAAAAATATTAAAATATTAAAAATAAAAAAACATTAACATTAATGTTAATTATTTTTACTAACTTTTTCTTTCATCAAACTGTCAATCATTTTATTTCCTAAATCGTAAATTGTTTCCATCTCTGTTGTTTTTAATGTCAATTTACCAACTTTAGCACCTACACCTGTAGCAGGTCTATCCACTTGAATTTCAACAACTTCACCTTCAATAATTTCTGTTTCTTCTTTAATTCTAACACCAATAGATTTTCTAATAGCTTGAGTCAGAGCTTCAGTTTTACTCATTTCTAAAGAATATATTTCAGAACCTGCCATTGAAGTAAATGGAGTATCCATTCCTAAAGCTTGTGCCATTCCCATAGCAATTGCAGTTTTTCCAGTACCAGGTTGACCTGCCAATAATATAGCTCTACCTGCTATTTTACCATCTTTAATCATTTCAAGAACAACTCCTGCTGCTCTGCGAGCCATAAGTTGACCAACCATTCCTTGAGATACCTAAGCAATTATATATAATTTAATAAAAATAAATATTAAAATAATAATACTTAATAAAATATAATATATTACATGACGAGGCTCCAAGCTATCATCTAAGCCTAAACCTCTAATATGAGAATGAGCTCCAATTCTTTCTATCCTTGTGATTTCACGAACTTCTTGAACTTTTGCAGCTCCAACAGCCTAAAAATAAAAAAATAATTATGTTAATACATTATAGTAATATTTTATAATATACAATATAAATAATATTACAAAAGCAAATACTGATCAAACAACAGTTGCTATGCCAACCTATTTATCTTAAATTTCATTCAAAATGAAATATAAGAATATTAAATATTATTTTATATTAAAATATAATACAATATATTAAAATAAATAATAAGATAAATAAAAATGTTCTTTACAATTTTAATTGGAAGATTTTTAAATAAAAAATGAATTTATTTTAGAAAGGTTATGCGACAAAAATAAGATAAAGCATATTAATATGAATTTATTTATCAAATATAGTATATTAAAATGAAATTAAATAATAAATACAATATTAATTTATAATAAATATTTACCGCCATTTTCACTGGTTTTCCACGTGTTACACTATCAACAAATTGAAATATTTTAAACTACTTTAAAAATTCACAACTTCATGAATATGTACTAGAAAGGAAACTTATAACTGGATAGAATATAGAGACATCTAGAGAATAAGTTATGAACTAATAAAATAAATATGAAATTGTCGATTGTATGAAAAATAAGCGGTAAAAATTCAAATAGAAATAGCAAAGAAATAAGACTTTTATTATTTATAATTTTAAAATTAATTCTTAAAATGTTTAATTACACTTATATTTTTAATATAATTTTGATATTATAAGAAATTTTAATTATACTTTAATTAATATCATAAATGTGATTATATAAATCAAAACTCTTATAGAATTTATATAATCAATTATGTTATAATTTTATTACACTAATTATATTATATTATTTTTCACAAAATTATTAATTGTTTTATTATATTTAAAATTTGTGTTTATATAAATAGTATTAAAGAAATATAAATTATGAATATGAACATTCATATTCGATAATTTGAATATTCCAAATTTTCTTCGTGATTTTGATTAAAATAATGTTTCATTAACAATATAAATTTAACAACGTAATGATATTTTTATGTATATAGTTCTTATTTAAAAATAAAATGACATTTGCAATTGCGTCAAAATACTTTACAAGTACGCAATTGAATAACACATATTTCTCAGACATATGACATATATTATCTGAAGAAATTGAAGAAATTGATCTTAAGCCAACGACGGTTTCTTTGAGATATCTTGTGCCATCTGTAGTTACAAAAGAAACATAAAGCAATGTGTTTATCAGTGAATCGACAAAGTTTCATCGTGTTTAATGTAGACCGAGAAACCGAGCCCCGTTGAGCCCTTGTGACCTTTCGTAGTTTGTGGTGACCTTCACACGAGGTTGACCGTAGAATTGTTCATCCGTCCACCACTTGTTTTTCATTTTTTTCCTTTTTCTATTGCGGTATATTATTTTGAGTGGTAATAAGTGTTCATATTCATATTTAAAAATTGTTTTTTGACTCGTGTTTTCTCTTAATGTTTCAAAGGAAATTTCTTTCGTCGCATGGTTCAATGGAACCGGCAAACCCTTAGAGAAATGGCATTACTTCATACTGTCATTGACCTTTAATAAATTCTTTCAAGACACAACGTGCTTCTTTTGGCTACAATATTTCTTAGGCAAAATAAACTTGTACTAAAATGCTTAATGCTTATAAAGTTATTCCCGTTCATACTGATTTTAATCTTCATCTTAAAATAGAATATTCTGTAACTGTTTCAATAATCGTTTCAATAATTGTTTTAATATTTGTTTAATAATGGTTTAAAACATTTATTTTTGAATTGTAATACCGAATTAAAATTAACATTATTTATTCAAAGAAAAAAAAATTATTGTTTATAATTTTATAATTTTTGTTATTGAATGAAAAATTATTTTAGAAAAATTAATATATAAAATTGTCTTGATAATAATTTATTATTATTGTAAAACATAATGATTTTTTATCATTAAACCCTAAATATATTGTTAATAACATTGCTATTAAAATGGTCAATTCTTTTATATACCCAAATTTTCCTAAAAATAATATTACATGATTTTAAGTATTTATAAAATTAAATTTATTGCCCAATATTTAAGGTTGCAAAAAGAGAACAAAATGTCAAGAGAACGGGTATCTAGAAGATTTTATCGTATGGACAGTAGTAATGATTTACTTGAATTTATGGATCGTGGATATTCAGCACAGCATGAAAATCGATGGTATTTTGAAGTTGCATGGGAAGCTGCTAATAAAGGTATAAATAATATAACATAATAAAACATTAATTTGTTTGTTTATACAATTATAATTTTATTAACTATTGTATTTTTAGTTGGTGGTATATATACTGTAATACGTTCTAAAGCTTACGTATCTACAGAAGAAATGGGTGATCAATATTGTCTTATTGGTCCATATAAGGAAACTTCAGCACGTACTGAAGTTGAAGAAGCAGATTTTCCACATAATAATCCATTGCATATAGCTGTACAAGTTTTACGTGATCAAGGATTTAAAGTAAGTTTAAATAATATATAAATAATATAGAAATAATATACAATAATATATAAGATATTTTAAAAAATATTAATATTTTAATTCTAAAGATAACTAATAGAAAAAAGTATGAATGAAACATACATTGTTATTTAGACAGAATGTTTTAACAGAGATACATATTTGCAGTTACTAACATTTTATAATGAACCAAAAATAATAATTTGGCTAAAGTCCAAATACAAGGTTAAAATTACTACAAGGTCAATTGCCTCTGTAGATGAAATATAATTATTCTCTTTGTCTTTCTTTGTTCTTTTTTTATTTGCTATTTTTTAAAAATGAAAATCAAATAAAATTTATTTTGCTATAAAGTAAAAGATGTTATTGAGGTGGTAACAGGAACCTGGCTAGTGGATGGAAATCCACAAATCATTCTATTTGATATTGGAAGTGCAGCATGGAAGTTGGACGAGTATAAGCAAGAATTATGGAATACTTGTAATCTTGGTATTCCTCATTTAGATATAGAATCTAATGATGCAGTTATTCTCGGTTATCTCGTTTGTCAATTTATTTCTGAATTCAGGTGAATTTATTAAATAAAAATCAATTCTATTTTCTTTATTATTCCTTGAAAAACATTA